CGGCGAGCCCGCAGAACCACCAGGCATACTCGACGAAGGGGAGATCACTACGGGCTAGGGCAATGAATCGCAGGGTAAAGAAGGAGAAGGGGCGCCGCTTACTGTTTGCTTTGGTCCGGTATTCTGTCACACTTTGCCTACTGTGCAGGAGACGAGGAGATGAAGGAGCACGGAGATGAAGGAGAATTAACAAAGTGCCGAGGCCAAGGCCAAGGAGGCCGCTCCGCCATGGCTCCCCGAGCTGTCTGATCCGCCATGGCCTCTTGAACTGTCTACTCTGCCATGGCCTCCTGAACTGTCTGCTCCGCCATGGCCTCCTGAACTGTCTGCTCCGCCATGGCCTCCGGAACTGTCTGCTCTGCCATGGCCTCTGGAACTGTCTGCTCCGCCATGGGCTCCTAGTCTGCCTGCTCCGCCATGACTTCCTAGTCTGCCTGCTCCACCATGGCGCCCCGAACTGCCTGATCCGCCATGGGTCCCGGAATGGGTACCGCTCAGGAAGCCTGCCGTCCCGTGTCTGTCCTGAGGGGCCTCCAGAGCACCTCCCCCCCACCCCGTTGGATGTTGTGCGGCGCATGGACGCGCCTTCCGGGAGGGGGGAGTAATGTCAGTCCTGTGTCTTGTGTTTTGCTCCCCACGTGTTCCATGACCCAGTTTTCCCTCATGTTTGATTATGTTTATTGATTCCAGGTGTTTCTCGTCAAGTCCTGTGTATTTAAATTTTCCAGTTCTAGTTCCTTTGTCCGGTATTGAATGTTCGTCAGTCCTCTCCCTACGTGTGTGTTCCTGCCTGTTTGAAAGAATAAAGACCTTTGATGTTAATTCTCCTTCGTCTCCGCACTCCTTCGTCTCCTTGTCTCCTGCACAGTCGGTAAAGCGTGACACCCTCTCAGACAACTCAAGCTGTTCAAAACGTAAACGCCTATCCTTGCTCGGCTACTTAAACTTTGCCATGAGTATTATCCCTCAGGGCCACCCTTTCATTTCACATCTCCTCTCCCTCGCGTCCTCGGTTTACGCGCTAGAGGATCGAATTTTCATAATTCAGCCTTGTCACGATGAACTCTCATTATGGATAACATTCCTAAAACAGTGGAATGGCTAATCCTTTTTCTACAACAATCTCGTATCTTCTCCCGTTGACATCCAACTGTTCACAGATGCAGCTCCCTCAGTCGGCTTCGGGGGCTTTTATCAAGGGCGCTGGTTCGCATCCCCATGGCCCCTCCAGCTTCAGGACACACCACAGTCCTCAGCGCTGTTCGAGCTTTACCCTGTCGTAGTAGCAGCCTTCCTGTGGGGGAAAGAATGGACTGCTAACAGTATTTTAGTGCATTGTAACAATGAAGCAACAGTCCAGTGCATTAATAAAGGCCGTTCTCATTCACACGCTCTGATGCCTCTTTTAAGACGCCTCACCTGGATCTCAGCGTGTGACCAATTTATCATAATTGCCAAACATGTTCCCGGGTCAGAAAATCAAATCGCCTCTCAAAAAGACTCTCTTTCTCATTTTCTGTTTCAGAAATTCAGGACGCTGGCTCCAGATGCGGACCAATTCCCAACTCCAGTGCCTCACTATTCAGAACTAATATTTCCGTAGCCCACCCATTAAAACCCCTTCTCGACGCATTGCTCGACACCATCCTCCAAGCAGTGGCTCCCAGAACCCTCCAGTCTTATGTGACAGCGTGGAGGTGTTTTAAAGCATTCCACCTTTCATATAACCTGCCGTTTCCCAATTTCTCTCTTCTCTCAATCTCCTCATTTGTCTCCTACCTCAACAGCGTTAAGGGCCTCCAAGTTGGGTCCATCAAAGGGTACCTGAGTAGCGTCCAATTTTTTCACAAATAGATTTTTGGCACTTCCTCCCCCGAAATTAACAATTCCCAAATCTCCCTCTTGATCAAAGGGATTCAACGATCCCAGCCCACCCGCCCCGACA